TTCACCAGGACTTATAATTAAGCTGCATGCCACTTACAAAGTACTTGACTACATTACCAGAAACACTGTTGACCTCTCCACAGATTTCTTCTTTGTATTATATTATAAAGAATTCACAGGATGCGACAGAGACTAACACTTTAACAAAACTTGTTTCATCTATTCAGTGGGTCCAGCAATGTAGTGGGAAGTACATAGGAATACATGGCAAAGGTGTCCCAAAAAGACAGTAAGTAAAAAGGAAAGCACAGAAGGCATTAAGAAGGAGTGCTAACAACTCAGTTTCCCATTCACTCTTACCAAATTTGACTGATATTTTGTGCTTGCTAAAGGCTTGCAAAACAGAAGGTCCTATTCCCAAAGGGGAAATCCTTTAGACAGCCAGGAACGAAACCAGTCATACTCAAGAGCTGGTGTCTACAAAGGTACAATTTTCTAACAAACTCATACTTCAAAAATTCTAATTTCTGGATTTACTACAATGTGATTTGTAAGAGAGAAACTTCATGTGTATGTACACATATTTTTTCACTCCTTTAACTATTCACCAGTGTTAATTTTCAGCTCAGACCTATAGATATCTGTACTGATCCCATAGGAATAATTTTATTCATCATCTGATAAATTTTGACAGAGGAGCACTGCATTTTCAGACATACTCTTATCACAAACATTTAAGTTAACTAAACATTTTGAAAAAGAACCACTCATGCTTTGAAAGCAGAGTGACAAATGTGATAAACAATTGGGATAAATGTTTTCATCTTTAGTGAACTGGGTTTTATTATTAAAAGAACATAGCAAAAAATAAACATCATTAATATTTTTTATGTTAGCAAGAACAATGGACATACTATGCCTTCCATGAAACTTCCTCAATCCTAAACAAGCTGAATAACTTTTCCTCTCAAGGAGACTACTGTCTAGTGACAAGTAGATAGAAAATGCATACAAAATAGAAAGTAAATGCTTTAAGAGAGGCAGAGATTACATGTTATAAAGGCATGCCCAAAGCGTGTTGGGTAACAAAGGACATCTGTAATCAAATAAAAATGTATTAAATAAGTTTAAATAGATGAAATACTAATCATCACTGCCACTCTAAATGGAAGACAGCATTTCCTAAACATATTTGACCCGGGCATCCTGATTTGCACAGCATGTTGAAAGTCTAATGTTTTGCAAACAGACAGTGGGAAATGTTATCTTTGGAGGATTTAGGAAAACAACGGTTTACTACTGGAAGCTAAGAGGGTCAGGAAAGATTTCACGTAAGAATGACTATCTACATCAGGCCCAGAAAGAGGTATAGGATTAAGATATTGTGGGGAGAGTAGGTGCTAGTGAAAGGTCATTCCAGTTAAGAGAACAAAGGAAAAATGCACCTGTAAAAAGTCGAAAATGAGTGGTTCAAATTAAATGTGGCATAGGAAGCATGAAATTGAGTTGTAGAAAAGATTTTGCAAGAAGACTGGACTTTCATAAAGAAGGTTTTGGTATACTAAAAAGCTTGGGAGCTTGGCTGGTAGGAAATAGACAGGATGACCATATGTCTATGTTGGCACAGGACTTTCCTAGTTTACATGTGTTGACCAGTGTTAAATATAGTAAGGTGATAGTTCAAATCAAAAGACTGCAGTTTAGATGATAAATTACACTATTACCTGGTAATATTTTAAAGTTCTTATCTTTTAGACATAGGTAATAAATATGAATAAACTAAATTCTATAATGCCTGCAATATGCTTCCAAATAATTGGGGAAGGAGTCTAAATGAAAAAGAGTGTCCATCACTTGATAGCTGTTGAAACTACATAAGTACACACATTTCTATTATACTACTTTCTCTAATTATATACATGTATGTATTTCCCAAAATAAAAAGATTTTTAAATGACCTTCACAGGAAATGAAATGGTATATCTGTGGCATTAAAAATTTAATCAAAATACAACATTTTTGCCATAGTCCTAAAACATTACATCTTTACCTAATAAGCCAAATTATTGAAAATGGAAGACATTTATATATTTAAGGTACATTTAACCATTTTAAGATATCTAAAAATATACTTTATTTCTGCAAGAACTTCATAATTTCAAACAGCAATAAAAACTAAGAAGAATACATACTCTATTCTCTCTTCCACTTAAAGGCATTTTTACTTTTATTTCCATCATACATTGTTTAACTAAGAAATTATAGTAAAATTAGTAATATGAAAATTTTTTAATTGCTTTCTTTAAAAATGTGCCAGCTTCTATACTGATTCTGCCAATATATTTTTCCAGGGCTTTACATATTTACTTTATTCCTGTCATACAGAAAATCTGTTAAGTTGATCCAAGTAAGGGCTTTCCACAAATTCTTCTATTAAGAAATCTCTAACTGCCAAATACTCCCCCAGAAAAGCTGCAAATACTATCAATTAAAAAAAAAAAAAACTTTTAAAGGAAATTGTACTTAAAGCCATATAGTATAAAAGTTTATTTAACAATATTTAAGGGGTTTTTTAAAAAATTTTTTTAAAATATAAGTTCTGATTTGAAAAATATATATTTTTATCACCTTTTGGTTAAATGACAGGTACTAATGTTAGTAGAAACATATTTCACTCATATGTAGAATTACAACATAAGATAAAAGCCATATCTACATCAATTCATCCAAAAATTTATTATGCTAATCTAAGCCTAAAACATACTATTATTATGTATAATTTTATCCATTTTCTCCCATGAAATAGAGTATTATGAAAGATCTATTTCATACAAATACATCAAAATCATTACAAACTTTTGTGTGCTTCAAATATAGCTATAAGGCTAACATACAAATCAAATTATTTTAAATTATTCCTTTACATTTATGCTGACTTTTTCTTTCAAAATTTTATACTGGATATTAAATCAATTACTAAAATCTGTGTTTTTTACTTATCCATAATAAAAACTATACTATAAATATGCTCTATAAGATAAATATCTCCACTATTAACTTATTTATATTTATTACTTCTCTTTAGTCACTGCTATAACTGACTTTATACCTTGCCATTTATTACAAGGAAAGAAGTTAACAGCTATTGACAAAAGTAATATTATTTTCAATATAAACAATACAGTAGAGCCTAATGTTTAAATGGGGATTAAAATTCAAAACATACTCTGCCATTTAAATAAACTATCTTTAAAAATAATGATTTTGGATTTTTTTCCCCAATTTAACACTCAGCTGAGACAGCAAGATATCTTTATTTAACAAAGAAAAAAAAAGGTAGCTCTAAGCTCCTGCCCCAATGTGAAAAATTGAATGTCACTACTAAGAAATATAGACTATAAGTATAAAATTAAAATGGAGTCACAACAGAGGATTATGACATCACAGAAGCCACCATACATATATCTCTGATTAACAAAGAACAGCAAAAGACCATTGATAAGATAGAAAGACAACCGCTCAAGAAAACCTGGCATCTGAATCTGACTGAAATGTTCCTACTCTGTTCTGATTCACTTCTCTATGCCCCATATAATTGGAAGAAATGGATAGATTCACACATGGTTCCTGAGATAGGTTCCATTGCCTTAATTATTGTAATTATGAGAATTACAAATATGATATAATATATTAATGCATAACAGCTATATATCTCTGAGAGAAAGAGATTACAAGCATTGAGGGGATGAGTTTGTCTTATTCTTCACAGTCTGCAAAATGATAAACATAAGATACACAATATGATGTATATAATCATATATAGCATATAGTGCATTAATTGTATCAAGAACATGAGCTCTACTACCCAGTGCTTGACACATAATAGATATTCAGTGAACATCATTTAAATAGATGTGATATTTCAGAAGATGCAACAAACATACTCGGGATTACCCAGTCATACTAAAACTGAGATCCATTAAACTATCTCTGCACTATATACATATCAGACTCCCTGGAAAAACTCAGCTAGGCTGAGTGTGGTGGCTCATGCCTGTAATCCTCGCATTCTGGGAGGCTGGGGTGGGAGGATCACTTGAGGCTAGGAGTTCAAGACCAGCCTGAGAGAGACCCTGTCTCTATAAAAATAGAAAAATTAGCAGGGCATGGTGGCATGCGCCTATAGTCCCAGCTATTTGGGAGGCTGAGGCAGAAGGGTTGCTTGAGTCCAGGAGTTTGAAGTTACAGTGAGCTATGAGATGCCACTGCACTCTAGCCCAGGTGACAGAGTAACACTCTGTCTCAATAAAGAAAGGGGAGGGGCAGGGAAGGGAGGGAAGAAAAAAGAAAAACTCAGCTACAGTTGTTTTACTGAACTACAGTGAGGAAAAAAAATTCTGCCTCCATACAACTTTGGGCTCAAAACTGCAACACTGGCTCCTGCTGGAATTTCCAGCCTTGCCATCCTGCTCTGCAAATCTCAGACTTGCCAGCCTCTACAACTGCATGAGCTAATTTTTTAAAATCAGTCTCCCTCCTTCCCTTTCTCTGTAAAATGTGTTAATTCTCTGTGTGTGAGCACAGAGTTCAGATCCAGATTCTATGCTTATTTCTGCACTTTTGGATAGCAGTAGAAGTTAAAGGGGTGACGGAAAGAAGGTGGGAAAGAGACAGAGACTGACATATTCCTCTGAGTTTCAAATCCTTCATATAGGATAAGCCAGGGACCTCCTCAAATATGGTATGTTAATTAAGCAGTTTAACGACAACTTTGAAAATATAAAATAGCTACATGAAACTAAATTAATCACAACTACTCAGGAAGAGTATATAAGGAGTAACTCAGGCAACATAGAACAAAGCTTGCTCAGTAATATGAAAAAATGTGTTAGAAAGTTGATAATACATATTATACAATTAAATAACTGAATGAGGACATTATCATAATTGAAAACCCATGAAATACTGTTGATACGATTATAATTTGTTTTCTGACTATATCAAGTAAGTATTATAAACACAAATGCATATGATAGGAAATAAAACAATTTGGTACATACTTGTAACAAAGAATTTTTTTGTGAAAGTACAGCTATCAAAGGCAGCGATTTTCTCCTGCAAGACTACGACGAGGATCCTAAAATTAGAGGAAAAAAACCAACACGGAAAAAAGAGGTGAATATGAAATTCTATAAATTGAATCA